CAGCCGTTATTTCACCTACCTTTGGGGTCGAGGTTGGCGTTTAATGTTTAGGGTTGAAGGGTGTACTTGGAGGGTCACGGGGACTTAGTAAGAAGGTTAATAATGGGGATAACTGGCGTTACTACATGGCTTACATGGGTTATATTAAGCTACTTACTAAGTCCCCCTGACCTTCCAAGTAGGGTCTTAAGTTTAGGGTTCAGGGCTTAGGGCCTCAGAGTCTTTTTTTGTGACAAGGGTTTGATGATCCGCGTTTCCAGGATCCTGTGATTTGCGGAGTACAGGGTGTTGAAGGGAGATATGGCCATAGTCTAGGTTAAATGGGGGATTATATAAGGGACTGCTATAACGATTATGCAGGAGGATACTAGGAGTTTAGACGAAAACTCATGTGGTTTTCTAGAGATTCTGTGGCATTGCCTTCCTGCCTTGTGCCAAAACCAATGGCAGCAGCTAGAAAAGGGACCAGCAGTTTCATGAAGAGGCAGGTGGTCATGACATTATGCCGTGGATTCTCTGACAAGTTCAGGGCTTGAGGATAAGGACGGTGACAGCAAGCAACCTTGCGACACCTCCATGCAAACATTGAGCCCTCAAAGGGGCCATACAACGATTACGATCTTTTTGATAGGGAGTTTAGAGCCCCAAAGCCCGAACCCCTACTTGGAGGGTCAGGGGGGACTTAGTAAGTAGGTCAATCACGCTTATAACCCATTTAGGAACCCTAAATATCCCATTGTTAGCCTACTTACTAAGTCTCCCTGACCCTCTAAGTATGACACAGATGGTAGCATGCCCCCAGGGCTGCTTCTGTACGGTAACATTGTGGCCGGAAGACCGGAAGCAGCGATTATCTGGCTTGCACTTACGGACCTTAAACCAAGTTAATATGATAGCATGTTACAGTCCTATTATTTGCTATAAACCCATATGACAGTAACTTAGTTTAAGTTTCTTACCAACGGCCCAGCCATGGGGGAGGAAGATGAGGGAGTCGGGGAATTATTACCTACCGTCTAAAAAGCTCCCCGCCTTAGCGGGAACCCCGATTATGCAACAAAAGTAGCCTTTTGGGGGTGGGATACTGAAGGGTTTAGGGTTTAGATTTTTCCCGTGAATGAGAGAGGACCCCAATACAGATATAACCCCCTGTAAGGAGTTTGGAATGCAGCTCAGATAGAAAACCTGATCTACTTTTATCCAGAGGGTTTCCAGGCGGGAGCCTCCAATCCAAACCTCTACTACAGATTGCCGGGGTCAGTGTATCCCAAATTTGGTAGCTACTAGGGCCCGTGGGGCCGTGGGGTCCTGTTTGTTTTGTCGTTTTTATGGGGCGAGGGTGGGAGTTGGGGTTGGGTTCTGGGGGCTGCTTTTGGTGAGGCCATGGTCATGTTAACTAGGCAGTGACTGCAATTCCTGTTCATGAAGTTGGGAATTCCTGGGGAGCATGATCAGACAATCTATCTAGGGGAGTATTATGGGTCGTATAACGGGGGATACTAGGAGTTTAGACTTTGGCTCATCTAGTTGCACAGACAACAGGATCCTGAATATGGACTCAGGCTGTCTTTTCCTGGGATTGCTGCATGTATTATGGGACGGGATGCATAGGTGAGGGCTCTAAGCTTCAAGATCTTACCGAAGCCCTACCGTCCATAAACCATACCTTAGGCTTTAACTAGCTTTTTTGATTAGGACCGCGTTGGTGGTGTTTGGAGAACAGGGGATTTTGAAAGCTGTCCTGGCCAGGGAGGTGCAAAGGGTGCGCTGTCCCGTCGGGATGAAGTGCAGGGAGCTAAGTTCAGCTCTGCAGGATTGAGGATTGGGGAGTTTGGGGTTTGGTGGTTTGGGATTGGGGGTTTTAGGGTTCAGGGGCTTCAGGCTTTGGGTTTTTGGAGGTTTGAGGGCTGTTAGGGGTTGAGGGGTTTTAGGGTCTGAGAGTGGATCTGTGGGTGGGTTGGGGTTGGGGCTGACTTGCCCACATGAAGCCATTCTTGCAGGGTGCAGACTAAGTCTATCAGATTGAGTTGAATAATTGATTCAAGAAGGCTTTCACCCGAGTGTCGGTCCTGGTGCCTTCTGGATAGAGCCCCTTGCAGGGATAATGAGGGTCGTTTACGTGGTCGGGTCAAAGTGGAAAATCATTTCCAAATCTCATTGTACTGAAGCCAAAAATGAAGCGTTTTCCAGTACTTGAAGGCCGCGATACCCGATGATAGCAAAGCAAGGACCTACAGCAACACTAAGATACGCGTGGCATGAGAAGAATTCCTAAGCCCTAAACCCTAAACCCCATCAAAAGTCCGAAAGGTTTTCAAGAGCAAACTCTAGATCCTGCCTCTAGTGTATCGTTTGGCACCTCACTAGAATCTGAAAGTCCAGCTTGCTTTTTCAAAGACCATGCAGAACCCCTGCAAAGACGGTGAACGTCTGCAACACCCTTATGGGAGTGTCACACATGACCCGTAATCCTATACTCTAAACCCTATACCCGAAACTGCTTCTCAGAACCCCATGAGCGCTGCACAGGCCCTGGAGCGACGAATCAAAAGCATTGGTCGAGCTCCGCTACGCCGCTCGGATGTTGCGCAATATTACCTGGACCCCACAAGTCTCCAAAACCACTGGAATAAGAACCATATTCTACATACTGTTGGGGTTCAGGTAGCCGCACAACACGCTTTGGAACAGGCGGATGTACGTCTTGGGTCATGCTGGGTCAAGCGGTTGGGGGTTCCAGCTCTACTGTGTACTCTGTGTAGGGATTTCTTGCTTGTGTTTCGTAGGGATTTGTTTGAAGCATGGACTCCTACAGTAGTCGCTGTTCCGATACAATGCACAAGATTAGGCCATCTAAGCGTCTTCCTTCATATTCCCTCTGACCATGAACAACCACCAGTAAGTAGTTCACCCGACAGGCATATTGAGTGCTCACCTTTACTCCTACTTTGGGACCCGAAGTGGATGCTGGTTTTCGGATCATGAGGTTCTTCTTGCACTCTGCCTGTATGCTTGGATGCAGGCTTGGGGAATCACTCTTGATGGACAACAGGGTTTCCCAAATCCCGAACCCCCAAACCCTAAGCCAAAAAATCTTGTAGCCCAAGCCGCCTTTAATTCCGCCCTACACATTAAGCCCCGCACCCCAAACTCCAAATTTGGGGTTTTGGGTTCAGGGCCCCAAATCCTAAACCCTAAACCCCAAGCCCTACGCTTTATAGTCCCCCTTAAGTAGATAGAATATGGCTTTGGGTATATTCTAAGAAGATCCCCATATACCCCATATTCTATCTACTTAAGGGGGACAATAAGACCTAAGCCCCGGGCCTTACACCTTGCCGAAAGGGTCCATGTACCCATACCGGGCCCCTAAGTACCCTTAGGGGTTTAGGGTTTAGGGTGTAGGGTCGAAATATTTCGGGTGTAGGATTTAGAGAGTTGCTGTCAAGGAGCTTAGACTCAGTTGCTCTAATGAGTGAACCCTATGATTTACCCCCTCTTATGGTAACCTGGTTTAAGTTCCTGAACGGCAACCTTCTTAAAGGGTAGCCATATACCAACCCTAAACCCTAAATCCTAAACCCTAGACCCCCTAAACCCTGAACTCTAAACCCTAAACCCTGAATATCTCACCCCAAAATCCTAAACCCTCAACTCTAAACTCTTTACCCTAAACCTATATTCTCACATGGACCCTTAGGGCTCTTTACACGGCAGGAGCATGACCTCAAGGCGGAGGCTCGGGCTTTGGCCGCCATTGAGCTCATGGAGCGCGGAGAGATGCAAAAAAATCCGACCTGAACCCTTTACAGGGTTTAGGGTTTAGGGCTTAGGGTTTAGGGTTTAGGGTTTAGGGCTTAGGGCTTAGGGTTTAGGGTTTGAACCCTTTACAGGGTTGAGGGTTGAAATATTTCGTGTTTAGGGTTTAGGGTTTAAATATATATGTGGGTTTAGGGTTTAGACATTTTCCCTAATCTGTTTCATAAGGACCCTATATACTCATATTTTGTTCACACTCATATTCAATTCAGTCGTTCAAGGTTTGGGCACCCAAGTCTCAGGCTGTTCTCAAAGGCAGGTCTAAGTCTGAGATCCCGAGACATCTACAACACCTGTGTGAATCATATCATCTACTCCCCTCCCCCTCATGTTATTGAACCCCTTTACCCCCCCTAATACGAAACATGTGCAACATACTATTAAAAAATGGGGGAGTATCTAGTGGGGTGGTTTCATATTAGGGGAAGGGATTACTGACCATCCGGCATGTGTTCACGGCAGAGGGTTAGCCAAAGCCTCCCAGGGCCATGGCTACCCTTCACTGGATTGCCGTTTAGGAACTTCATCTAAGTCACCATAATATGGGAATGTTGTAAACCACAGGGTTTCCTTATTATGATAGCTCGGCTTAAGTTCCTCAACAGCAGGCCAGCTTATTGCACGTATTGTCAACTCGCTTTTGTCACGGTAGCACAAGGATCATCCCCATAGATGATCCCAAGTGGGGGGGGGACCCTACTTGGAGGGTCAGGGAGACTTAATAAGTAGGTCAATAATGGAGATATTTAGGGTTACTACATGGGTTATAGGGGTTATTAACCTACTTACTAAGTCCCCCTGACCCGCCAAGTAAACCCCTAAACCCTAATTTGTGGCACTCTTTCGGAGTCCTGAAATCAAGAGTTGGACGCTGGTACGCACCGCCATCTGCCGCACCCTCGCCATGTTCAAGGTGGTCCGTACACATGGTACGTAACGCAGAGGGGCCTAGGAGAAGACAGAGATGCATGCCCCTGAACAAGTAGCCCTCATCTATGACTGTGGACTGTTTCATTTCTCCTGCCACGGCAGCATTTTCCAGCACACGAGCTCCACCCTAGCTTGTACGCCAGCGCGCGACCCAGGAAACATCATGCCTGTTTTTTTTTCCGTGCCCGCTAGGCACGCGCTCTACCCATGACCCTCGCGCGTTGAGCCATGCCAATCGGTAGCTCCGCAAAATGGGCTTTAAGCCACTTGGCTGATAGTTCCTGTGGGTTTATAGGGCTTAGCTTTCAATGTAGTCCTTTTGACCATAAACCCCAAACCCTAAGAAGTGAATTGGCTCCTCATAAGAGAGCTGGGGACTGTTCGGCTGGCCACGATAGATGCTTAACAAATGAGCGAAGTCCTTAGCGCATCCAAGTGATGCAGACGGCCTCTCTTCCGCAGTCATCGTTCTAAATCCCTAAGCCCTAAGCCCAAAGCCCAAAGGTGTCCTAAGACCTGCAGGACTTCATACTATGGTGTGTTGTGAACCCCAAGCTCGACAAACATCTTGCTCCAGATTCTTAATGCCTCTTCACAAGAGCGAGACCTTACTAAAAGAATGTGAATGCTTACTACTGAAGCACACCAACCATGAGCCCCCAAGTGGCGTCGCAACGCACCAGGCCTCAAACCCTATACGGGCCTTCCCCAACAATCCCTGTGTCATTCCCAATAACTGCCCAAAAGTGATCTCCGGTGTATTGCTCGGGCCCTAAAAAGGGCTTGCCATTTTGGGAAGCTCTCATACAGACCCCATACTTGCAGGAGCCAAACGGCAAATCAAGAGCCAGTTGTAAAGTGTCCTTATGATAAGCGGGGTTTTATCTTCTGAGTACACAAAAGTACACAACAACATGTGGATACGTACAATACGTGTGCAAGCATCTCTTGCTTATTGGTGCGTCGAATGTTCGAGGTATCGAAGGGTTGCCAAATTATTGGAAAGCTTCCTTGTGACTTGAGTCAGCCCGCCGAGGTCTCCACAGGCTTATGCCCATGCCGCAGCCCTCAACCCTCACAACGGTGGACACGAAATATTGTGCATGACGTTATGACTACTTCATACCTTGGGAATTCATGGTACGATGGTATAATAAGACCATGCAAGATTCTTAGTAACAGTATGATCAGTAGACCTCCCAAATGCTGGTAATAACAGTCCTTAACCCCAAAATTCGACATATATGGGCCTTTTTTATGAGAGGTCTAGGTAAGATCTCAAACCACCCCCTCCGCCTTCCCCCACACACAATGGACATGGAAACAAAAAAAGGTTCGCCACACAAAACCCTAAGCCCAAAACCAAACAGCAAAGCCCAACAGCCCGGTCCCGCTGCAGGAAAGGGCGCGCTGCTCGTGCAGCAGCTGAGAGGGCGGCTGCTGCGAATTCAAAACCTTTAAGCGCGCTGACAGAAGATGGCACTGGCCTTTGATTAGCTGGGAATGAAGCAATGGAAAAGAAAATGGAAACTACTATGATGGGTTACATGGGGGCTCCGATAAGCGTCCCTTCCTTCATTCCTAGCTAACCAAAGGCCATTCAAGGATTTAGGGTTTAGGGGTTGTAGAGTTTCTCATAATTAGTGGTTGGTTTGACCTCTGTCTAGATTATGCATTTCAGAAAAGTAGACGTACGCAGCCTGACTTCATAAATCATATGCCAACGAGGAACGAGGTTTTTGGCTTTAGGGGCTCGCGGTGAGACATTTGGAGCTTATTGACATGTTCTGGATTGGCATGGGCGGGGCTCACGGTGTTACACGTATTTGGGGGGCATTGTGGTGGGAAACTTTGGTGACAAATTAATACCCGAAGTTCTCAGCAGGTTGATCTGTTTCAAGTAATGATGCTACTTAGCAGCTACTCCCGGCCGTTGATCCCCAGCATTCCACACCCCAACCCAAACCGTAAACCCTAATCACACAACCCTAATCCCTAATTCCGACTCCCTAAAGCCTAATCCCCAATCCCTAATCCCTAAACCCTAATCTAAACCCTAAACCCTAATCCCCAATCCCTAAACCCTAATCCCTAAACCCTAATCCCTAAACCTTAATCCCTAAACCTTAATCCTTAATCCCTAAACCCCATAAACCCTAAACCCTAAACCTTAATCCCTACACCCCAATTAGGGCTCAGGGCGTCCAAGCTTTCTGAGGCGCGAGTTGTTCTGAAACGTATGGACCTCTTTTGGGTTAAGATTCTATAGGGTTTTGGATTTGGGGTTTAGGGTTCAGGGTTTAGGATTTAGGGTTTAGGGTTTATGAGCCAGAGTCTAAACTCCTTAAAGGGTGATTATTTTCGAGAATTCTATAGGGGACTGCCATAGGGGTTATTAAGGGGGATACTGGGAAACTCCTACTACAGCACCTCATAGCTGGGGGTTAAGAAAAGTGGTACCCCCATTTTGGGGAACTACCCACGCGATTAAGGTTCAGAGTTCAGGGTGTAGACCAGGATACGAGCAAGCGTATCCAACAATGCTTCGGGATTCCTGTGTAGGATGTTCCGAAATTAGGCGCGCCTGTTGCCCAGACCTCTGGAAGGATCTAGAAAGTAGAACCCTTGTTATGGTACCCCATGCTACTATTGGGCAATTTCTAGGAACCCTTGAGGGGGATCTATTTTCTAGATCCGCCCAGGGGTCTTGGTTGGGAGCCCCAGTACCAAGAATTCTTACCTGTGTAGTTTATTCATGATTCAGGCCGTTTAGGGGGGACCTAAGGGCCCCAAGCCAGTAAACCTAAGGTCCATACACCCCCAAGCCCAGATGTTCGCCACGATTGCGGCACCGCGGTGACTTACGATGCGCCCAACGGCTCAACCTACGAAATCGACGTGGAATTGACCGGAGGGAGGGATGGGAAAGCATGATGTGCAGTCCGAAAGGCTGAGTAATTAGTGTGTCGAGCTGACTTGGAGACCATGTAGGCTGTTATAGTTGCATGTTGGACCCGAAAAATGTTGCACAGGAAGCATGTAGGCGTGTACGGTATGTTGAAAGCGTGCATGCAGAGAACTCGGACTGAATCCTTCCGAATATTGACGGCCCTATGCTTCTGCAAGCAGTCAGGCTTGACTTCGATGTGGTGGCCCCTTTCAGGAACCCTTTGTGATATTGCCATGCGCTGCACTTTGGGCTTACATAAGAGGAGACAGCACTGAGACAATGGCCCATCTATTTAGATCGAACCGGACATTTGTAAGACAAAGTTTCGCTCCAATTGCTCTGCCAAAACGCCCATTGCTCATGGTGATGGATAGGGCTTAGGGGTTTGGTGGGTATGCTGGTATACTGAAGAGTCCTCCTAATATACAGATATTCAACCGTCCCTGACTCCTCAAAATTCTGTGCTAATATTCACCCTGTATCCCTACAATCTAGAGTCATCAAAAAGTTCCTGCCTGACTGTGAGGACTATACACGAGGTTTTAAGCCCTCGCTCTATGCCCAAGAATATGTGATGCAAGCCTAAACCCATGCTTTCAACCCTCAAACGACAAGCGCCGAAGCATAGAGTAGCGAAACCCGTGCTGCTGCGGGAGGATGATTCAGAGGAACCCGACGAAGGGCACGAGTCGAAACGTTCACCGCAGCGCTCTCAGCTTCGAGGGTCTGAGGGGGAGAGGCTGTTGAGATAAGAGCTCTCGGAATTCAGCTGCCAAGGTTGTCAGGTTTAAAGGTTTCTGGGTTCGTGTCCGATTTTTGGTGTTTAGAGTTTGCGGTTGAAAGGTTTTGGCTTCAGGGCTGCAATTACCTACCAGAGATAGCGGCTCTCGAGTGTCAGGCTATGCATTGACTTCTGGCACCTAGCTTCAACTGCCCTTTCTTGGAAAGGTGGGTCGGACTCGTAAAACATTTCAGATTTTTGCAGACTTGGCATGACCGGCTGGAGTGCTACCGATGATACTAAAAATCCTGCATGNNTGCATGACCTTAATATACAATAGTCCCATTATTCCCAATGTATAATGTATTTAAGGTCATGCAGAATTTTAGTATCCACCGTACCAATGGACATGTGCCAGATTTTCTAATTGGGATCTAGGGTTTGGGGTTTAGGTGATTCCTTCAGGTTCTTCTTGGCAGTATCAATGCCATCATGTTGCCGGTAACCCTAAACCCTAAACCCTAAGCCCTAACCCTAGACTTCCAGATGCTCTGAGATCTTTGCAGACCGCTGTGAGCCGCTGCCCCGCTGCACATATAGCTTGTTCTGTGCTTTATGTTAGGGTTTGGGGTTTAGGGTCTAGGGTTTAAGTTTATGGCGTACTACCCCTTGGTTTAGAGCCTTATACGCATCCCACATACACCCCTTGTGGACCTTTGGAGTAGCGGGCTTCGAGGAGATTATCATTGTTATTTTCACTAGAATGTTCTTATTACTAGAAAAAATCCTACTTTTCTTCCAGTATTGCCCCAATAATGAAGACGCACATGAAAAGATAATGCAATATGAATTGGAAACTGGGATTCTGCATCTCGCCCAGGTCACCGTGGTCATGTCAAACATTGGACGAAGCTCTGGCAGCAGCGCAGTTACCATGGAATCTTTTCTCCTAGATCCTCAGTCCCTAAACCCTAATGGGTTCCTGGACGGGGTCTTAAGTTGTATGGATGTTCAACAATCTGTGTTAAACAGCTGCTGGGGTGAGGTGGCGTACATTGAGGCACGCCTTAAATCCACTTCGCCGTCAGTCCACTTGCTTCATGTAGAAGATAGACGCGGTGGATCTAGGCACTTTCCATTTCTTGCCTCGAGATGGCTTTTGTGGCCGGATTTAGGGAATTATCTATGTTTCAAGTATAGATAGAGTCTGGAGTGTCCATGAAGACCCCAGACTGCGCTACGGTGCATGTCGATTCGGATGATCGTGGAATCAGACTGCACTTCTGAAAATCCTCAAGCCCTGAAACCTAAACCCTTGAAGAAGCTTGCGCTCGGATGTCCTTGTGCACACCAGCTATGATACGGTATTTGCATCCCTGGCAGAAGACGAGACATTAATGGTAAATGTGTTCAGGTTTATTTTCAGTACCTGCATAATGCATATCGCTGAGAAGAAACTCAGCTTTCAACACAAAAAGCGTCTGACGATGCTATGATTCATTTGAGCTGTAGTCTAAACTCCTTAAAGGGGGTTATTTAGGGTATATAGGGGAGTATTATCGGGTTTTTCGCGGGGATACTAGGAGTTTAGACT